TCAATCTAAGCTAGACCACCCTGGAAAACATGGAAGTATTGGACAGCTGTTCCGTCCTAGTATGTGACTCCTTGAAAGTGAGCATCCACAATCCAGCACGCAGGATCCGAACGCCTAACCTACAGATTACTGAGCTGGCATCCGATGCGTTCAACTCCCGTTTGTGAGATCATTGATACGCACTGTCAAGCTGTCCCATACTATGACAAAACGGCCGTCCAATGCTTCCAGATTTTCAATGGTGGTTTAGATTAAATCAACTCATGAACTCAACGATTAAGATATATATGAATGGTCGAAAAATAGGGCCAAATAATTTTCTTGTATCTTGATAGCTTTCAAATGAATATCTAATTGACTTTGATCTATGCTGAACACACTTGAAAACTTGTATACTAGAAAAAGTGTTCGTATTTTTCGTGAATTAAAATCACTTAAAAAATAAAATGGAAAACTAGAATAGAGATAATAATTGTTGTTTTAATGTTCAACTCATCAACATGTTTGATTTATAATATTAGTTAAGAGTATTCATTTTCACATGAACAAAGTTTCTGTAAAATATCTCCCCAAATGCGCTGGTACGATAGAGGATGGGGAAATTTAGCTCTTCCGCTTGAAATGTTCTCACATGACCACACTTATACAGCCTTTGCCAGAGAAGTCCTACTCATTGCCTTTTGAGGCGGGGGTATTTCTCACGAAATTGAGAGGACGAAAAGCGAATGTCCGATGCTTTAACTGAGCTGGTGGATATGGAAGATCCACTTAGGGGGGTTATTCAAGCACAAGTTTATGGCGGGTTCGATATTGATTATGATTATTTTACTTCTATATAGATCATGAATGTACATATTTCTAAAGAGTATTAAGCATACGTTCTAGATATACAAAAGTTCTTTAAATGATATAAGTGTATAATACATACCATATATCAGTCGTAGTGTCCAGTGTTTCTTTTTTGTTATTGCTTAAATGGATTCAAACTAAATAGTTCACATTACTGACTTCAATAAATTTGTTATATAACACTATTGTTATTTTCTTCTCAATGATATTATCGAATATCATCTCTGATTTGATTGAACAGTGAGACTACAATTTATAGACTAACCAATCAGATTTACGATAACAGGTCTCGGATTTTAGCGCGAAATTCATTCATTCATTTGGCTAAAACGAGTCTTGATATTATAGCTGATGTCAATTTGTGATGAAAAACTATAAATCTAATTCCTAACCCTAACCATCAACCGTAAATCAGAATTCTAATTCCTTACACTGATTTATAACCCTCATTTGGTCCTAGTAAGTAGGTAGACACTCTCAATGTCACTTTAGCGTCCTTCAAAAAGTCGTCTATAAATTATAGTTTCACCGATTGAAATAATAATAGTTTCCACGATCATTGTGTCTATTTGATTTACTTCATAAACTATACGAATAAATTCTGATTCTTATGTACTGACATAAGAAAAGATATATTCATCACCCCCATTCACCTCCATTCTCCCCCCCATAACCCTAAAGTGTAAAAGCTACTTCATATAATGAGTGCATATATAATATTAGAAAAGTACATAGTGTCTTTTATTCCAGTCAAATGAAGTCAATAAACAAACAAACAAGATGTAAAATGTACTTTAAAATCAATTATTTATAAACATATTGAATATAAAGTTTATTTTAGTAGTTGAGATCATGAGTCGATTGAAGCTAGACTATCATGGAAAACCTGGAAGTATTGAATGGCCGTTTCGTCCTACTGTGAGACTCCTCAACAGTGTACAAGGTTTCTATTATTTAGTAAACATATTTTTATCAAATAGGTAACATCAAAGACTAGTAACATTCTCATTAGATATTCATAAAATCTTTAAATATATGTATAGTTTCTAAGCATAGAACTCCTCCTGTAGCTCTTCTGGAGTTACTGCCGGTCCTAAGGAGGAGGGTTGGATATGTCGTTAGCGATCACATCCCGTAGAAAACTATCTCGCTAAAAATACGTTAACCACAAAAATTCTGAGCATAGGGTAACATGTTTTAAAATGGGACATTCATTTTAATAAAACCACTATCACACATTATTTCATTTGTATCCTTTTTTCATCAATAAATAAGTCATTCTCACTGGCCAATGGAAACACTGATTACCGAACTTATACAAGCTGTATGAATTCGGATCGACAATATCTAGTTCTATTCAGAGTCGTTATCAGTTATATATACATTTGAAATAGTGAAATTGATATGATATTCAAGAAGATATATGCTAGTACAGGATTTTCGACGGAGGCAGAATTCTTGAAACAGCTGAGAGCTTGTGGGAATGTGACTTTCTGCTATGTCACAGTATGAGACATTCATCGAAATCTAAATAAGTTCTTTAAAAAGAAATATGTATATAAAAGGAAAAGTCATCCTCAGTAACCAACAGCTTCTTAAACGACACATAAGTTTTTGTTTTGAATGAAATTTCTTATCGATTGATTTAGATAGTCTGTCCGTAGTGGTTGTCAGTTCTAAATATTTCTTCTGCTAACAGAAGGCTTTTATACAGTATCAAGATGGTCAGTAAGTCATAATCATGAGTTGTTAAGTTTCACTTATGTGAAAAACTCTAGTTTTTATCGTTCGATAATCGAGCAGAAGAATACGATTCATCCTTTATTGATGTCAGGAGCTGCGGCTTAAATTGTTATTAGTTTTGTTTATGAAAGCTTCATAAAGAAAATAATCATCCTAGGTGTTTTCGATTTGCGATAACATTGATTTTAACAATAGAAACTTCCAGGTCAGTTTAACCTTAATTATTATCTCTAGTTCTTAGATGATTTACAGAAGCTAACTGCATATATCCTTAGGCTTGGATGTGCTACTAAGACAAATCATGAAATCAACGGTTATCTGAATTGTTACTTTATTAGAAAATGCATCTCGTTAATTTTCCAATGTCGTAGGTATTAGTCCTAATCCAGAAGTGTGACAAGTTGAGTATGTCTCTATACAAGATACTGGTATTAGATTCCTCTATGAAGGTAATGCCAATAGCATTTTAGCATTTGAGCATAAACCATATAGTACATTTATTCAGTCTTCAGTTGATAACAGTTCAGTGACGCGGAGAGGAGGGGGGATTGAAAAACTATCAAAAGAGTATTTTCAAGATCTCCTACTATGAATAAATCGTTCATCATTTTCGTATAGACGAAAAACATTATATGAAATAATTTTATAATATAGAAAGATTCATTCATTTTCAAAACTGGTTTCAGTCAATATTGATTGGTAAACATCGGATATCTCTTTCATATTCTCTTAAGAATGTCAATTATTAAACATGTATTAACCTATCTAATGTTCAAATTCATTGCTTTAGATCATATAATGATCTCGGAAAACGAAAAGAGTGATTGAAAATTTCTGACTTCGGAAAAATTTAAATTGGCTATTGTCTTCATGATAGATAGATAGACACATAGATAGATGTGTGGATAGATAGATAGATGTGTGGATAGATAGATAGATAGATAGATAGATAGATAGATAAATAGATAGATAGATGTGTGGATAGATAGATAGATAGATAGATAGATAGATAGATAGATAGATGTGTGGATAGATATATAGATAGATAGATAGATAGATAGATAGATAGATAGATAGATAGATAGATAGATAGATAGATAGATAGATAGATAGATAGATAGGGAGATAGATAGATAGATAGATAGATAGATAGATAGATAGATAGATAGATGTGTGGATAGATAGATAGATAGATAGATAGATAGATAGATAGATAGATAGATAGATAGATAGATAGATAGATAGATAGATAGATAGATAGATAGATAGATAGATAGATAGATAGATGTGTGGATAGATATATAGATAGATAGATAGATAGATAGATAGATAGATAGATAGATAGATAGATAGATAGATAGTTGAGTATTTTAGAACTCAAAGACTGATCTGTTTTGTTTAAAAGTATAAATCTCAACTTATAAACTAATTTTCTAGCGCACTTTTCTTGTTTCATCCTATAGGATTCATTCAAGTAATGTACGAATTCCTTAAAAATAAACTCACCAGAATCAGTATGAGCTGATTAAGGACAATGAAATTATTGATTCAATAAAAAAATTATTCTTGTTGAAAACTAATTAATTTCTTTAAATATAAAAAAAAAGAAAAACCTTGATCCGTGTATTTCATTATAGTTTCACTTATCAACTATCAATTCACATAACCCCCCTACATAAATTGAAACTATCAATCATAATTATTAATTAAAATGCAAAACTTTCTCACAAGCATCCATAATATCATAAGAAGGAACAAATATGATTGGCGTAAAACTTTAAAAATCTATAATCAATCAAAGAAATTTTCAATGGAATAGGAAATTGCTCATTTTAAAACATTTTATGAATTATTAATCATTGTCGCCATTTTTTAAAGAATAACAAAAGTTACCTACTTATAAGTAGTTTAAATAATTTTGCATCATTTTGTTGGTTTAGATAAAATTAAATTTAGATGAAAATGGTTTACTGAATAACATGAATTCATTGTGTCAGAAAGCTTTCAAACAACCAGAAAATCTCAGAGTCATTCTTCATTTACTTGAATCGTTTTAAGGAATATACATGGAGGAAAATCAGATCCCTGTGGAGGAAAAAATCAAGAAGAAGCGTTGGAAGTGGATAGGACACATATTGAAGAAAGTATCCAACTGAATCACAAGACAAGCCCTCACATGGAATCTTCAAGACCAAACGAGAAGAGGAAAACATAAGAACGCATTACGACGAGAAATGGAGACGAACATGAGAAAAATGAACAAGAATTGGATGGAACTAGAAAAGAGGGACCAGTAGAGAGTGGGTTGGAGAATGCTGGTCGGTGGCCTACACTCCTTTTGGAGTAACAGGTGTAAGTAATTAAGTAAGTATGAAAGAAAATAAGTGCAAACAATTTGTGTTACTTACTTCTTCAAGTGCAGATTTCAATGCTTTATTTTGTTCTGAAAATCTCTTGATTTGTTCAAGTAGGTCATCTGTCAAGGAGCTTAACTATGAAAAATATTAAACGTAGAAACAAAAATGGATATCAACAAAAGGATAAAATTCTCATGCAATGATGTGACGTAATTTTCTATATAGAAGTTAGAAAACTCTTATTTCGGATTTCTGATGAAATTCTTTTGAAGTTTTCTATTTTCACTGTAATGTGATGAGCCTAGATGCGAAATTCCGGCGTTATTATTCTGGGTATTTATTATCCCAACGAATATTACTTGTACTGTTTCATTTAGTCAATATTCCAGCTGATGCTAGTTTGAAGTGTAAACTTCTGCAAGAATAAGAATAGATTTCCGAAAATCGGTTATTGAAGTCTTATAGTTTTACATCACGAAGTAACTTTAGTCAGGTCTTCATTAAAAATCAATAAACTAGTGGAAAGAAGTTTTGTTCGAGTATGAGACTTTTTGGTAGTATCTATCTTCAAAGCCACTAGGGATCGAATACAGAGACTTTTGGGCTTTCCGAAATGTGTGTGTGTGTGTGCGAGATCCTGAGTTGATCAGACACATCAATAAGTAGCGTATATTATTAAAATTCCAATACTATTTTTCGTCTTGTCCATTTAGTAATTGGTGATCTGATTCTATCGACCAAACTGTATTATGACCACTTAGTTCACTACTTAGTGATCAGTTAGTTGTAAATAGCTCAGTTGCACAAAAGTTTAGTAAAAAAACATATGGTTCAATGGTAATATCTGGGACTGTAAGTTTGAATGATGTAGGTTCGAATCCCGCAGAGATCAGTCGGTCAGTCAGCTGCAACGTAGGACCAGGCACATATATGAATCGGTCCAAGTTGCCATACCGCATTAGCACAACAACATCAACACCGGATTCATAAAAGTAGTTAATTCAGTGGTGGTAATATATAAAAGAAAGATTGTATATAAGGAGATAGTACAGGAATAAAAAATTAGTTGGTAGAAAGAAAGACATGAAGCGATTTTAATCTCTTAGATTAAAGGAAGACAGAGAGTGTATACACCGACGCCATTGTGATCGATTCTGAGCCATGTCACCAAGAGTCTCCAACCATTGGTTACGATATTCACACGGACCCCAACCAGGCAGTCTGCATCTACCAACATGGCTCAGACCAGAAGTTAGTGACTTAAAGCGCTAATGCCACGTTTTGGTTTGGCCACCCCTAACTTTCTTCCAATCATCCCTAACACTGGTTAGCATTGCGCGTGGTGGTAATCGGTGTTCAGGCATACGCAGCACGTGGCCCAACCACCTCAGTCGATGAAGATTCACAACCTCATCAACTGATTTACCATCATTCCCTCATACTCTGCGTCTAACCTCACTATTACTTACCCGGTGATCCCAGCAGATGCCCGCAATATTTCTAAAGCACCTGTGGTCAAATACTAGTAACTGACGAATATCTTCTACTCTTAAAGGCCATGTTTCGCAGCCGTATAGTAGAACGGAGCGAACTGCCGCACAGTATATTCGTCCCTTAATTGATAGACGGATATCTCTCCTTCGCCATAGATGACGTAAGTTGGCAAAGGCCAAGCGAGCTTTTCGAATCCGTGCTGAGATTTCGTCAGACACCAACCCATTAGGGCTGATCAGACTTCCAAGATAAGTGAAGTTGTCAACGCGTTCGACTACTTCACCCCCTATCCTTAGTTCAGGTGTTGACGCAGACCAGTCCTGAAGCAACAACTTGCATTTGGAGGGAGAGAAGCGCACCCCAAACATTCTTGCATTGTTGCTCAGTGCTACCAAAAGACTCTGCATTTCATCAGCGTCTTCACCAAACAGGACTATGTCATCTGCGTATTCTAAGTCAATAAGTGGACCTCCTGGTAAGAGATCAATACCTGAGAATTCAGTCGATGAGAGCGTTATTTCCATCAGTAGATCTATGATGAAGTTAAACAAAAATGGAGAAAGTGGACAGCCTTGGCGGACGACACTTGAGGTTGCGAAAGCAGATGACAGTTCGCCATAAGCTCTGACTCGACTAGTAGTGTTCGAGTAAAGAGCTTTCACAAGGTTTATGTACTTCTGAGGTACGCCTTTCAATGACAGACACTGCCACAGAACCTCTCGGTCAACAGAGTCAAACTCTGCTTTTAAATCAAGGAAGACCACCATTGTCGGACGCCGATAAGTATATCTGTGTTCTAGAACCTGACGAATGGTGAATATGTGGTCGATGCAGCCACGACCAGGTCTGAAGCCAGCCTGATTTTCACGTGTTTGCAGTTCACGAGTCTTAGTTAGGCGTCCAAAAATTATCGAAGCTAGTATTTTAGATATTATATTAGTTAAACTAATCCCTCTGTGGTTGTCACAGGATGATTTTGACCCTTTCTTAAATATTGGGACGATAAGTGATTGTGACCAGTTAGATGGGATGACGTGTAACTCCCAGATTTTAGCTAAAATATTAGTCAACCTAATCGCTAAAACTAGACCACCATCCTTAAAGACCTCTGGGGCCAATCCATCTGGACCAGCTGCCCTTCCTCGTTTCAGATTAACTACAGCCTTTTGAACTTCAGCTAGAGTTGGGGGACCTACTTCAATGTTCCATTCATACTGTCTGAGAATAGAGGGTAGTTGTAGGGTAGCTGAAGGCCAACTGTACTGCTCCTTAAAATGTTCCGCCCATCGTTCTAAACGTCTGGGCTGGGAGCAGATGAGTGTCATCTTTTTCCGAAATAGTCTGACTTACATTTGATTTATTAATTCCAGTTTCTTTTATTAGTCTGTAGAGTTGTCTTGTGTTCCCTATAGCCGCCGCCTTTTCCATCTCTTTTGCTTTCGTTGCCCACCACTGCTCACGATCGTTCCTTGGACTTTTGCTTAACCTAGATCTGATTTCTTTACGCTCTTCATAGTGTTAAGAACCTGATGGGATGAGTTTACGAGAATCTATCAGTGCAATAGACCTTGAAGAAATCCATTGGTTCTTTGTAACCCTGTGGTTTAAATCACTAGTAGATGTCACTGCTGTTTCCACAGCTGCTTGTATGTCTTTCCAATCAACATCGGGGTCAGCCTCGTTTTCAGAACTACCTAAGTGTGACCCCAGTTGTTCCTGGAACCTACTTTTGCTTTTCTCATTACTCAATTCGGTTCTAATGAGTCTTTTTTGTGTGGCTTTTTTGCGTCCAGTGAGGCGCAAGCAGATGCGTGCTCGTATTAGGGCATGGTCGGAGTCCAAGCAGGTACTCCAGAATGAGCGACAATCTTCTATTGACCCTCTTCAACGATGACTGATGGCAATATGGTCTATTTGAGTCCATCGTTGGTTTGGTGCAGGGGGTCGCCATGTTAGACGATGTCTCTCTTTATGCTTAAAATTTGTGTTTGCTAAAAATAAACGATTGTCTGAGCAAAGTTGCAGCAGACGATCACCATTATCTGTTCTCTGTGCCGGAATACTAAAATACCCACCTAAATGTCTTTCTGTTTCGTTTAAGCTACCTACCTGGGCATTAAAGTCGCCTACTACGAGTACTATGTCTGAACGTTTAGCTTTTTGAAGAAGTTCAGACAGCTTTCTGTAAAATTCATCTTTCACTTCATCCGAACTGCAGTCAGTGAGAGCGTAGGCAGAAACGACGAAAAGGCAACGACGTGTGTCCCTATCCTTTCGAGTTCTTACGGAGCCGTTTAGCCGAACAGCGCATAGATGACTATTAACGGGGATCCACTCTAATAGCGCTTGTTCCGCCCTCATGCTTAGTGCTATGCCTACACCTGCCAGTCCACAAGAACTAGCCATCGGGTCGCCAGATACACGGAGTGTGTATCTTGTCGGCACTCCGTTTTACCGAGGTGAGTCCAAGTGAATGACCACACTAGGATCCTGTATGCGTGTTTCGGAGACACAGCATACATCAATCGTACGAGATCCTAACATTTTAGCCAAGGAAGCCTGCTGACCGATTTGGCATAGTGTGCGTACGTTGAAGGCTCCAATGAATAGTTTGGAGCGAGGTTTCAGTAAACCTGGGACAGTGTTTTGCGCACTAGAATCGTTGGCTGTGGTGACACTTGAGGAGGAAGCTAAAAGAGGAAGTTTAGTGTATAAAGTCGATGTAGGAGGAATAATAGGAATTGAAGAGGGAGGTTGACTATGAATACAGTGGTCTTGAGTGCTGTTAGAGGTATGAGGGCGGTTATCACTTCCCGGTTGCCCACACCGTGGAAGGGTTCTGTTGGAGGTACCTGAAAAAGAAATTGTATTAGAGGTGGTCATAGTGATCTGAGAGCGTGACCGCAGTGCCCAAGGGACAGGTGCTTGAGGTCGGTCACACACGACCTTTTTATGAGTAATTTTTGTGTTAGCTCCGTACTTGTTGAGACCTTACCGCCGGAGACGGATATCCGTGGGATAAGGCGAGGTGTGCATTTTTAGGGTCGACCTTTTCTAACCCCTGCCCTCCTTTTGGGAAGACAGCATCGCTGTTATGCTGGTTGTCTGAAGGAAACACCTTACTGCTGTCACACCTCTGTACAGTCAGCAGTACGACTTTGCCTTCGGACCTTGGTTTTGTTGCTTTTAGTCTTACCGCTCTTCAACCGACCTGTCTGGCATGGTAGGACCTTGAGGAACGGTTGTTCCAGCCAGTATAGCTCAGTTGCTTCATCACGATAGGCAATCCCGCTGAGATAATAACATTCCAACACACACTATTACTGTAGTCACACGGAATACATCTTTGTACTTCACCATGAAAGCGGTAATTCCGGGCAATGCAATTAGGAACACAAATATGGTAGACGAGAATTTATTTTCTAGTCAAAATAAGTCAAAATAAATAAGTAATACACTATAGTTTTATATGATTTGTACCTGATCAGTATTATAATAAGTAATACTTGAAACCAATCAATTAGTAATTTTAATAGTTGAATTCATGGATCGATCTAAGCTAGATTACCATTGAAAACCTGAAAGCATTAAATGGTTATTTCGTCCTACCATAGGACTCCTTGACAGTATGTATCCACGTTCTGGCATGTAGGACTCAAATCCATGACCACTGATCTCATGAGCGAACACTTAACATTTAGACCATTGAGCTGGCCAACATTCAACAGTGTAAATATCTAACTTCAATTAATCTATGATCTTTTATAATCCTTATTCATAATAGAAATAATAAAGTAAAACAAACATCAGTTATGATAATGATTATGAACTTACTCGATGAAGACCTTCTTCTGTAGCATCTAAACGTTTATTAGTTTGTACAGTTTGCCATAAATTAGTCACTTTTCTATAATTATCATTTGAATGATCTAATGCATTATTATTATTATTATTATTATTATTATTATTATTATTATTCTTTTTATTATGTATATCATTATCAATGAAACCAATTATATCTTGATTATTTGGTAAAGAATTGAATAAAGTTAATTGAGATTCTATAATTGTTAATCTTTTCTATAACAAAAATAATTAAATAACAATATATAAAGATAATATTAGATGGTTATTACAGGGAATATTCTTTTAGGTAAAGACAGGTAATGGCTAATATTGGAATTTAGGACTTACGTTTCGTCCTATTTCGGACTCATCAATAATATTGAAGTGATATGCATAGTATGTGTATATGTTAATAAGAGGGAATGATCAATCAGAAGATTTAAGTAAAACAATATCAAGTGAATTTAAACTTCATCACATTGCATAATTAAGCGGCTATCAGAACTCATTAGCTAAGTAGATAATACGATGGTGTTTAAAGCAAACAGTACTAAGTTCGAATCCCGCTGTGAACATTAATTCTGAGATGATGGGACATCCAGTTGACGAGTTTCAAATAAAAGGAAAAGCACATCTTAGATTCCAATGCTAGTCACTATCTATCTTTACTTATAATTCTTATGAATGAAGGCAATATGCACAGTATGCACATTTGCCAATAAGAGAGACTAATCAATACATCAGTCCTAAAGATTAATGAAAACATTCAAACAAACAATACCAAGTCAATTTGTATCCGTTTTTTCAAAAACATTGATCAACCAGACTTATAAGTAGGCAGGGCGAGACTATAATTTATGGACGACCTTCGAACGAATCTTAAGTGACCTTATTAGCCAATCAACAAACAGTAAGTATAGAATAAAAATTTATTATACAAAACTAAAGAAAGAAAGTGGATACACTTCTTATACATGGTTTAAAAACTTGTCAAGGTTAGAAAGTGGTTCAGAGGTTTTGAAATCGTAATGCATACAGTAGAGGAAATCATCCATATGGCCATAGAATAGTCAACCTCTGGAGTCATGATAAAGTCTCAAAAACTCTTTCTGCTTCGACCACATAGCTTCAATATTGTTTATGTGCACTTCGGTTATTGAGTACACAAAATGCCACTTGTGGATAACCACATGATGCACACAACGAAGTCTATGTAGGATTGTGTACGCTCTCCAATCATCCATATATATTGTAGTATCTGGCTGCGACAACTTTTACTGATGCTTTTATTATCCCGTTCGCAATAATTGTCATCATTTGGCTTAGTTAAAAATTGTATATGGGGTTTTCATCACGAATTGACACCAGCTATAATGATAAAACTCTATTTAGCCAAATGGATACAAGGCTTTCACGCCAAAATTCAAGATTTCTTATCTTATACCTGATTGATTCATCCACCTAATTATAGACTCGTCGTTTTATTTGTTATAGTCGCTCAATTATCACATTTTCTACAAAATTCTCTGTGAACCGATCGTACATTAGCATGAATCAGTGAAGTTGGCGCTGTGACCTTAAAATCTCTCAAATGCTTCTGATTGGCTCGTCCATAAATTAAAGTCTCACCGTAGGGCATTACTTAAAGCATACATCTTAATGATAATTAACAGATAATACACCATTCCTAGTTTTACAATCATTATTTGTCTTTAGTATAACTATTAATTAAAGCCTACATTAAATGTAAGATATAAAAATCCTGTGAATAGTCTATTTCATTAATCCTTAACTATCATATTTATATATAGTGATAGTGATAGTGATAGTGTAATTCAAGCCTATAATACCCTATTGGTTAATCGATGAATGAATAGACCATCATAATCAGATTGTTCTACTGATGATTAAGTTGAAGAAATCATATGAGTATTACAAATATCGATTAGCTTTATTCTTTATTAATTTATTCTATTTTATATATTCTATAATGAAAAGTCATGAATGACCATACCTTTAGTGTTATCTTAATGTAGTCAGTACATATATTTAACCAAAACCCCCCTCTGATATGATTATTGTTATTGTTATTATTCATAACTATTCCATAAATAAATTACAATAGTAGAAATATGAATAGAAACATTGAATATATTGTATTGTATACTACTTATATGGACAGATATAAGTAGTATGTAACATCAATCTAAAGTAGAATACCTGGCAGCAGCAGCAGCAACAACAACAACAACAAAAGGTTAAAAAGATTGAATGAAAGAGAATAAGAATAAAGGGAAAGTTAAAGTATATAAGAGATCATTAATAGAAGATGTACAAATGAAGTATTTTATGAAAATATTCTAAGATTTCATTCATTATATCTCAATAGAAATGGGTGTTTAGTTAAAGAAGTATTGAAAATCTTTAATGTAATCAGGATTCTATAATTGCATGAATGAATTTTTAATTATGGTAATGAAAAGGTAACAATATTGATGGATAAATGTGTACTTTGAAATGATATGAAGTAATTGTGTTATTCAATATTCTATATAATCACTTATACAATATGGTTGCCAGTTGCTTATATATGAAATATGAATAAAAAAATAGGCATTATTGATCCTTTACTGTTTGATAGATTAAAATGTTAATCAGTCAACTACAATGTAGGGTTAGGCATATATGTGCATTAGTCCACGTTGACATACCTCATTAGCACAACATTATGAACACTGGATTCATAATAGTCACTTCGATGATAATCATATATAAAAGAAAGATTGTATATGAAGATATAATACAGGAAGAAAGAAAGATATGAAGTGATTTTAATCTCTTAGTTTAAGGGAAGTTAGAGAGTGTATACACCGACACCATTGTGATCTATTCTGAACGATGTTACCTAGTCTCCAACCATTGGTTACGATAGTCACGCGGACTCCAACTAAGTAGTCTGCATCTATCAACATGGCTCAGACTAAAAGTTAGTGACTTCAAGCACTGATGCCAGGTTTTGGCTTGGCCACCCCTAACTTTCTTTCAACCATGCCTAACACTAGTCAGCATTGCACGTTGTGGTAAACGGTGTTCAGGCATAATTAATACATGACCCAACCATCTTAGTCGATGAAAATTTACAACCTCATCGACTGATTTACTATCATTTCTTAATACCCTGTGTCTAACCTCACTATTACTTACCCAATAATCCCACCTACATTTCAAGGACATCCGTCATGAAACAATAGTAGCGTAAGAGTATCTTCTACTATTAATGGCCACGTTTCGCAGCCGTAAAGTAGAATAGAACGAACTGCTGCACAGTATACTCATCCCTTAATTGATAGACGAATATCTCGCTTCGCCATAGGTGATGCAAGTTGGCAAAAGCCAATCAAGCTTTCTGAATTCGTGGAGAGATTTCATTAGACACCAACCCATTAGGGTTATCTATCTATCTATCTATCTGTTACATCATTCATTTTGTTCAATGTTAAAGACATTCGAAAAAAACGTTCTACTGAAATAAACAAAATCACATATAACATTTGTTTAAAATAATTTCACTTTTACTCTTATACTTTACCATGGTTACTAACACAATAACAAAAAAAATTAATCAGATAAATAACAACCTAACCAATAGGGGTATACTACACATTGATATACAAACATACCATTCATAAAGATGAAGATTATGGAACAATTATATTCACAATAGTAATTTATATGATTTTGTTCAAATACATTAGTAATATGATATTGAAGTAATCAATCAAGTGTATATATGTATGTAGTTACAATATTCAAAGTGAATTAGTTTCAGTGTATATTAGTTTTTGATTGAGATCATGAATTGATTGATGTTAGACCAACACTGAAAACCTGGAAGCACTGGAAGACCATTTCGTCCTATTGTGGGACTCCTTGGCATTGCACATCCACAATTCCGCTCTGCAAATTCAAACCTAAGGCCTTCAGTCTTACGCGCAAAGGCTTAATTCACTAGACCACTGAGCCGGCATCCAACGGTATTAAAATCTAACCTCAACCGGTCCACAAAATTGCGTGACCATCTTTCATTGTACTGAGGTAGATACCTATCTCTACCCAACACGAATTAACTCCACTGATCACGGCTTTTCATTAGAACTCTGAGAAATCCCTCATAAAGCTAGTCAGTAGTGAGTATATGGTAATTATCAGTATGGAATTGTGAAGATTTTGTTTGTATACATAAATTCTAATATACCTAATAGGACTAAACGACTGTTCAGTGATTCCAGATTTTCAATGGTGGTCTAACATCAATCGGTTCATGATCTCAATCAAAAGCCTAATAATCTCCATAATCCTATACTGATTTAATAATTTTGTTGAAGATTATTCAACTGATAATTTAGAAAAACGAAACATTGAACTTGCCATGATCCTATTAGGCATCAAATTCAAAACCTTCATGTTATATCCTAGCGTAGATTAGATTCTGAGAACTATTTATGGACTTGCTTACTTACTTACGCCTGTTACTCCTCACAAAGGAGCATACGCCGCTATCATATATACATATATTCTTATTGCATAACTGTTATGTAACTAGATTATGTATATATTTATAATCCTTTTATCATAAGCTTTTATTTGACCTATTCACTACTATTATACAAGTTGCTATTCTTGGGCTATTCCCAATCTATTAATTACAATTTCCCATATTCACAACCACTTTTGGCTTGATTCTGTATAATTATTCATTTTCATTTTATGGTATGATGTGGTCTAGTTCGGTTGTATATAAACCAAGTATGTCTAAAATATATGATTCATATAGTGGAAGTTGATATTGGTGTTCTGGACTCAACAAGCAGGGCTAAGCAAAAAGGATTAATAAAGATTTTAGGTTGATCGTACCGATCAACATGTCATTGGTTTGGCACAGTGCTAAGATTGTCTAAGTTGCATTCTGATTTGCGAATAAGTCATTTGATATTTAGCCGACCAAAAGTCAGAACGTTTCAATGCTCTTTGTAAGAGTGTGTCTTTTGGAATGTTAAGTTAGAATTCAATAGTACTGATCGCAAACACTAGTCAATTCACAATTTATTGTAGCTATTTGCATATAAACAGGGTTCCTACTAATCACCATTTTTCACCAGAAACCTCAAGAGCTCATCTATCGACAAGTCTTTGATGCTTTACTTGAAAAGTTTTGGAATCTAAGTACTTTCAAA